TGTTTGAAGCAGGATTTCTGAACTTTGTGAACTTCTTATTTATGTTTCTTTTCATACTTGTCAGCAGAGCCAGCTCCTTGTTTAGTTCATTGATCTCAGGGTCAGAATCAGACATGTTCCTCTCATCATCGGATGAGTCAACTTCAAAGGAGATCTTGGGGATCTTTTCTTTTCTTTTCAGTAGAGAGAAGGGAAAGTGTGTCAACAATGTTCTTTCCCTTTGAAGAATTGACTTTTTCACGAATATCCTCAAAGAATTCCCTTAGACAATTATAAAGATTGTGGATGATCAATTCATCCAAATCATTATTTTGTCTGATTCATTTTGTTGTTTTCTTCCATTATGGTTTGAGTGACCTCAGCAAACAAAGGTTGACGTCCAAATTGGTTTTCCGAACGTTAATATTCTTCATCTCATTAAGAACCATCAGAAATCATTGGTAGGTATCTTCCAACTCTTCATCAGATCTAGCAGCGAAAGAGTCATATGCAGTCAGGGTGTGAGCTCTTTTGGATTTGATTCCAACATCAGTGCCTTGCATGATCTGATGGATTTCATCCCATAAGTCTTGAGCACTGGTAAGACTATCAATTTGCATAAACAGATCATTAGGGATGGCTTGGAGCAGGTAAGTTGCGGCTAGAAGATCAGCTTTGGCTCTGAGTTTCTCGGGTTCTGTATAGTCTTCTTCCTTTTTCAGATTTCTTTGAGCTGGTGTGGGAGGATTAAATGTTGTGTTCTCAGGTACTTCAACCCAGATCCCAATAGGTCCTTCTTCCGAGGACTTGAGAATATTTTTCCCATTGTCTCTGCTTCTGATGAAGTTTAGGAATTTGACTTTCCAGACAGCAAACTCTCTTCTTCTGAGAAGTGGAGGTCTTGAATCACTTCCTAAGGTATAAGCTTCCATGACTGTTGTTTGATCTTAAGGCGAGAAGTGTTCATTTGAAAAAAAATAGTTGCTGCTTTAGAAGATTTTGGGTGAAGATTTAGAAAGCAGATCTCGGTAGTGGTTTCGATTTAAGGAATTCAGATGGAGAATTCGAAACCCAGATTTCGGGTGTGGATTTCGAAAACCAGATCTCAGGTGTAGCTTTGGAAATTGAGATTTCGGGTGTGCAACTGACGTTCAGATCTCGGGTCTGAAACTCGGGTTACCTGCGAAGAATAGGATTTCGGAACTACGAGATTTAAGGATCTTGGGTGATATATGAAATCATAAGCTGAGAATATGATTTTGGGTGTCCGAATACTTTAGAGTGCCGAAATCTTCACTTATGCGAAATAGAAGATTTCGGATGAGCGAAAAATATTTAGAAACTAGATCTGACTGGGATTTTTCTTCATAGCTTTTCTTGTAGTAGAAACCTTCTAAAACAGTGAGTTTACAAGAACAAATCTAAGAATTAATTCAACCAAAAATTGTGTTTTTGATCAAACTAATTCCAAAAAAAATCAAGGATTCTCAAGAACAGTATTGCGTCGAGGCTCTGATACCAATTGTGTGAATTATGCCCAAATTCAACAGACGAATAATCTAAGAATAATAGGAAGAATTAAAACAGTAGAAGAGAAATTCACCAATAACGTATATCGTGTATTAATGATGATGAATCCATGATGAACAATACACAATACTCGAATGAAATAGAGAGAGAATTTCTAATCTATGTGCTCTACGAGAATAATATGCGGAAACATAATGTGTAGAGACTTAACAGTTTTCGACCATCTCAACCTATATTTATAGGGAGATTTTCGAACTACCTAATACAATTAGGAATAGACACCAAACTACGAATGATTTCGCTTCGGCCTGGAGCACCAAAAGCAATCATGGTGCCTCCTCGGCCAGAAACACAAAAGGCAGCCAACGACGGCCAGGAGAGATCATGTCACCCTCACGACTGAGACCGCGCATCGTCCTCAAAATGAAGGACATTCACCGACCGCAAAAACGAGGTACCCACGACGGCCCAATTATGGCACTGCCTTGGCCAGGAACGCCAGAACTCCCAGGTAATCCTTCGTCGACCAAAAGCATCAAAACAACAGAAATCTACTCCTTTTCACTTCGTCTACATCTCAACTCAGAGAGTGGGGGACTCCTGATGGAGTATATGGGTCCAGACCCAACGACCCACATACTCAAAAGACTAAGAGGAAGCACAGCTGACACCCAGTGGGTCCTCCGTCGGCCAGATGGCCATCCATCAGCCGGATAGATATCAACATAGAATATGGTCCAGAAGCCAGGAGAACCAGGGTGCCCCCGTCGGCCAGACCTCCATCGGCCAGGTCTCCGTCGGTCAGACCTCCGTCGGCCACAGAGACCTCAAATAGCTAGATTTCATACTTAGCCAATTTACATACTTTGTATTCGGCCCAATAGTGGCCTCATTTTAAACGGGTCTCCCAAGCCCAAAACTTGGGAGCCCAGCCCACTTTTCTCCTATAAATACTCCCTATGGTAACCATGTAAAGGGTTGGAAATTCATTTATACATATCACTTTATCTCTCTAGTTTTCTCTTCTCTCTAAGAGTTAATACTCTATCAGTGTGCATGTCGGCTTAATTAGAGCACTAAATTGGGTCTAATTGTCTTTCAACTAATCTAATTATATACAAAGACTCATTAATTAAATTACAGATAAATTGAACACAATAAATAATATTCTAACAAACTACGTACGTACATGATCAAATGAAAATCAAATATTAATTTTGATTTCAAAATTGGAGAAGGATAATGCCCTAATTTACAACCATCATGACTTTTCATAAAGTTGTAATGTCATATGAAATTGATGATGTGAGACAACATGTGTGTTGTTGTCTATAAATATATGTTGAACGTGAAGTTTAAGTGTAACTTCAAAAATAATAATCTCTGGCTATATTTATCCTATTATCTGCAGTAATAGTGATCAATATTTAGACTACTTTATATACAATTCATTTGTTAAATGTTATTTTATCAGTAGCTAAAATACATTTGAGCACCTTCTTTTTATCCCAAAAGTTCTATCTTGTAACCCGGTTACTGTGATAACGGTAGATAGTAAACTTTTAGGAAAGTGTATTTATACGTGACTAAAAGTGATATCAGGTTCAGCCATATTTCTACACCCTTACAATATACAATTAAATACCCCTGATTCTAACACTAAAAGGCGTAAGCGTGCCGAGACGGCACGGCCATGCCTTAAGCCTTTAGAGTCTAGACGGGTTTAGACCTTAGGCGTGAAAAAGTGTTTTAATATTTATTCTTTATTTGAATTTTTCTAGAGGTATTAGTAAATATATATATATATATATATATATATATATATATATATATATATGTGTGTGTGTGTGTGTGTGTGTGTGTGTGATATGTGATAATATCATACAAGAATATCATATTTTGAATTTTCCTTTAAAAATAAAATTAAAAAAGATTTAAAATTCATTTGGTCTCGGTTTGAACCAACCTTTAGGTCTCGGCCTGTACCTATCCAAAAATAGGAAGTAAACCTTTTCCATGAAGGTATAGGAGATAGTGTAGCCTTCATTCATTGGAAGGATCCCGGTAAAAGATTTCAAGCATTCATTTGTGAAGTTAATTCCCATGTTCATGGTATTGGTAGTAATTTCCAAATAATTATCAAGTCTAGTTATGTTATCCTTAACATCACCCATATGCTTTAAATAGATATCCGGATCCTTATCTTTGTGAAAATCAACCTTGACAATCACATCATCAAGAAAAGCATCACGAATATCATTAACAAGTCTCACCTCGTTAGCCTTATGGTTCTTCGGATTTTTTAGTTTAAACCCATTTCCTTGAAGACATCTGTCCTCATAGTACTTATTGAGGTAATGTCTATACACCCCTTTCATGAATCTAGAAAAGTAAACATAATCCTTATCAACAATCTTAACCCCGGGAAGGCTTTCCAAACATTCTTTTGTAAAAATCAATCTGGACTCTTTATTATCAACCATGCGAAGGTTTTGGTTAAGCTTAACCGTAGGAATGTCAACTTCACTACAATGTTTGAGCTTAATGATAGGAGTTAGAACCTCATTTGGTTCCATATCAACAACAACCTCATCGGTGAATGAGTCTAGGAGGGTCGTTTTAATGACCCAGACAGTTTTATCAATATTGGTATCAACCTCCCTAGGGGGAGGGTCAATCCCTTCCTCCTCCACCTCCATGGTAAGCTTGTTAGCCCTTCTCTTGTATCTGTTCACTCTAAAGAAAGGGTGGTCAGCCTTTTTGACCTTGAAACCCTCATTTTTATGAGAGTCCGAGTCCAAAGGTTCCTTTCCCTTCCTATGAGTAGTAGTGATAGTTTCCATATCCTTCTCAAGAGTAGAGTCAATTATGTTTCCATCCTTTTCTTCCTTTTCCTTGTTTTCTTTCTCGGCCAATACTTTACAAGTAAAAGCGTGATGACCAAAAGTTTTGCAATTAAAACAATAGTTAGGGTATGTCTCATACCTAACATATTGAGTATGAAATCTGCCGTTGGGCAGTTTGATCTTAAACTCAAGAGGAGGAGCTTTAGAAGCATCGATCTCAATAAGAACTCTCGCAAAATGAGATCTAATTTTTTGTTGAGTAACCAAATCAGTAGCCAAAGGGATTCCCACCCTAGAAGCTATTTCACTTATGATTTCCTCTTCCCAAAGTCTCATAGTAAGGTTTGGGAATTGCACCCAAATAGGCAGTTTTAGGAACTCCTCACTATCCATAAGGGAAATCATCCGAAAGGGGTTTCAAAGGAAAAGATTTCCCTAGGATAGTATAAGGTCCTTCCATAAGAACTTTAGCCCTATCCTCCTCACTTTTAAACTTAAAGATGACTCATCCTTTATCATGGGATCGGACTTGACAAGGTACATTCCATTTATTTATCATATCATGTATAAGTTTGAAGCCGGGGAAACGGCCATCAAAGTAGGTAACGAGACAAAATCCCCATAAATCAACCATAGATGAAAGTTTCCTACTTGAAAGGTCAACATAGTCACCAACCGGGGCTATGTATTTAAGTTTCATTCCCTTTTCAACTTTTCTATTGTCCTTGAAGAGAGAACTCCAAGGCTTGATGGTATTATCAGCCAAAGAGCCCACATTTTTATCAAGCTTCAATGTCGCGGCATAAGAGGGAGAGGCCACATTTTTATCAAGCTTCAATGCCGCGGCATAAGAGGGAGAGGCATTAGCCTCCTTGTCTAAAGCCGCGGCTACATCATTAGGAGGTATCACAGCCAAGTTCCCATTCTCAACTAGTTCGGATGTTTGTTTGGTAAATGAGCCTTTAATGCTCTCATGAGATTTGTTAACCACCAAACCCGAGCCTCCCAAATCATTTGTGGAGGGGTAGTTCTAACGGTAGTAATAGCATTAATTGTAGCCACATTTCCCTCCTTAGGAATATTAATGTCATCTTTAGAAGCAGCGTTTGAGGCATTATCAATCCCCTCCTTAGAGGCATTAATCACAATGGTACTATCACTCACACCACCTTTAGACATAGCATTAATTTCAACATCCCCAATATTTAAGGCATTAACAAGCACGGTATTGTCATCAAGAGGAGAGTTAGGAATAGATATTACCTCATTTGAGTATTCTTTGTAACCTTCTTTTACCTCGTCCGAGTTAGGAGATGAGGATTGGGCATCAATGCTAGGTGGGTTCACAACTCCATTGCTAGCCTTTGAATCATCACTCAAATGAGTACTATCCGAAGCTTCATCCTCCAAATCCATGGTTTGAGCTTTGGCTTTGAGTCGAGCCGAGGACTTGACGGGAACCGGAGTCCTCTTCTTCTTGTTGCTTTTCTTCTTAGGCATGACACCAAAGGAGAAAAAGAGAGGCTAGGATTCCACCACCCTCACACGCATGGAGAAGCACAAAATCCGTACCAATGGCGAGAATGGCACTATTCACAGCCGTTGGAGGATAGTACGGCCAAAAAACAAGTTGGCCGATGATGCAAAAAAGATGATTTGCTTGATCCTTAGGAGAAAGGGAACTCAAAACCAAGAAGAAATCAAGAAACGCCCCAGCCAAACGAGAGGAAATGGCGTTGACTTGATTTCGTGAATAGTAGTCTCGGAAAGGAAAAGCTCGAACCAGCTCCAAAAACTTCCAGGAGTAGCTCAAAAATTAGAGATTTTACACCTCAAAGAAGGATGGAGTGTAAAATAACTAATATCTAAGCTGAAACACAAGAAATCAATGGAGAAGAGAAGGGTCGGAGATGAAGAAAACGCAAGGAAGTTTACGAGTAGCGGAAGGGCTAGAGAGATACACTCTCAACGTAAACTTTCTCAGGCTTGCATGTTATTATAGTATCATGTCATGTCACTTAAATGTAAAATTTGAATATAAATTACAATGACTAAAGGTACACCTAAAAGCTCACATTATTTTAAACAAATTTTATTTTTGTCATTAATATGTAAACGTTTCTAAAAATAATAATAGTCAAGTATCTTTTGGTCTGATAACATCACTGTGACACTCTCTAGGAGGATGTCACAGGTTCGAATCTTATCTCAATTCAAGGATGTTGATCTTAATATGGAACAGATGCTATAACAGGTTAGGAAGCATTGCAAAAAACAATAATAATAATAATAATAATGTTGATGAAAAGAATATAATGCAATTTATATAATTTGAGCAAGTTTAAAGGTTAGCAATTGTTGATTGCATCATCCTATAATATCAACCCATGGTGTTCCAAGTTTATCCGGAAAAAAAACGAATGGTGTTCCATGTGTGCTGCACGGCTAAACCGCTGAACCTTATAGTTAATTTTCCCACACCGGTTGAAGTGGACGTTTCTCATTACAAGGTAGCTATAAATAAGAGCTCTTCTCATACTCCTTGTATAGTTGTATGGCAGTAGTAGACCTTATCCCCGTCGACGGCTGGCTATGGGCTTGACATTTAGTCTAATTAAAGGGCCGACCCTCTGTATCCCGTCCAGGTCAAAAAGCTAGTTAACCAAACACAATTACTAGCTGGTCAAAATGTTAAACATGATTAAGTCCCTTTGCCTTTGCTATTAGAGTTGCTATTAATTGCTGAAATATTCAGGCAACCGGCTAAAACACCCATAACAAAATGGATTCGTGCATGCCTAGTATAATAGTATTGCTACAAATTGATTGCTACTTCTGCACAAGTAACATGGCAGTATTTAAAAGTAAAGCGTGTTTTGAAATTTGAGAGAAATATCGTTGTTTTCTTGAAAAGGAGAAAATAGTTTTTCAAATTTAAAAATAGCACTGATATATTTTTCTTCACAAAATAAGAGTAACATAACAATATTTAATATCATCTTAACCGTAGTAATTGCTACCAAATAGTTGCAGTATTAAACATTAAACATGACATCATTTACTATAATTAATAACATTATTTTTTGATCATGACAGTAAGTCAGTAACAACTTATATTTCAAGGGGAAACATAAGTCCGAAACGTGCTCTTATTTTAGGCAATTTTTCTTGTTAATTCCTGTCGATAAATATTACCAAGACTCTAAGATGAGATAATAATTTTCACATTAACCGTCTAACCTCGTAAAGGTAGACTAGATAAAACTAGTAAACGGAGAATAAACTGCAATGGTAATCAAACTGAATGACAACAATGAGTCATATTAATAATAAAAGGGAACCAAAATAAAACTCTTGTTCGTGAATAAGAGAAGAAATCCGTTGGAAAATTACCAAGGTTCTCTAAGAGTCTAAGGGTGAAACTTAGGACGGTCATTATAACCAAACAGACTGATACAACATTCATTTTCAAAACATACCTAACCTTGAAAGGTTTCAACCACACCAAAAGAACGTACTATCTAAAGATAGCCACCATCATTTAAAGAACGTACTCAATAAATGATTGTAAAATTTTGTAGGGTGTTCCATCCCCTAAAACATCAGACATGGAAAGCAATTGGGATTTCAAGTGTCCAAAAGATAACCAATTTCACTACCCTATCACCTCCTGGTTATCAGGCACGCCTGGGCCTCCGCCGCGTAACTGCTGCTTCTTCATTCTGACCTTCCTTCTCATTGGAAGCTTCTTCTTGACTGTTTGAACTCCCAGCAGCATCGCTCTTATTGGTTTCTTCAGCGGATTTTGTTTGCTGCTGAGAAAAAATGTCAAAAAAAGTATGTGAATGGAGAGAATTCAGTAGTTAAGTCATATTGAAGGGGAAATGTCCAATTTGTACATATCTACTTTTGTTTAAAGAGTCTACTTAATTAACTTTTTGACAACTAAGTTTTTTAGAGGCCTATTTACATATTTGCCAAGATATCTATCAACCTTAGGCTTAGTTTAGCCCTATTAGGATATAATTAGCTTTTAAGGGTTTAGTTAGCCCTTGTAGGGTTTACTTTAGCCTTGGTAAGATTTATCCCTTCTAGGGATTAGTTTAGCTCTCCTAGGGTTTAATCAGCTCTTCTATGGTTTGGTTAGGGTTAAGCTAGCTCTTCTAAGGTTTAGTTAGCCCTTATCAGGTTCAGATTTCGGCATTTAGGGTTTGGTGTGCAGATAGCTACGCAGCGGAAGTTACCTTTGTTGTGGCAGTGATTCGAGTGGGTGGCACCAGCAACAATAGTTTGGTCATGGCAGCAGCGGGGCGATATATTAAGTGTATTTACTACAATAGTGACGAAATTTTAAGTATGATCTTTTAATCTAATTTGGTGTTATTATACAAAATGTCTTCAAAAAAGTGCAGTTTAGTTGGCAATTTTTCCTTTAAGCATACTTCTGGAGTTTTGGTCAAACCCCCTATATATGTAAAGCCATAGGAGGTGGGTGGGGCTGGGGGATTTTATACATTTAGGATCTGTTTGTGGCATGGGAAATGAAAAAAGAAAGCACGTTTGGAATGAAATAAAGTTCACAGGGCAATAAAATGTGTGATCAACATAAATCACTCTTAATCTTTTAATTAATATATCAAAAGTTTATGAAATTTGAATTATTATTTGCAAGCTTTGTAGCGGTTTTAAAGTAGTTTTTGAATATGTAAATTTCATTTTCTAAAACTAATTTGAGTGTCGATGGGGATCAATTTGCTTTATCGTCAATCAAACATCGTAAACCGTAAAGTATCTTAAAATTTAGGACGGGGGAGTACTACATGTAGAGAAGTGAAATAAAGAAAACTTTCAGAAAACTAATGTAGAGAAGTGAATATGTAATTTAGGTTTGTTTACTGACAAAGATATTTTACAACTTTCAGAAAACTGGAGAACTGGAAAAAAGAAAACCGAAAACATGTTACCAATTCATTTTCCAAAACCAAAAAATGAAATATGACTCTATTTTCCTTGATGAATTGGAGAAGTGACTTACTAGTTTTCCGAATTTGGAAAACACGGATGCTGCAGTGTCGCTGCAATGAATTTGCATAATAATGCCTAGAGTTGGATCCAGTCGTGCTCCGGTGTTAGTTCCAATCCGATCCATTCAACGGCCAACGGTCCTTATCTAGTCCGGCCAACCAACCGGCGGTCAGGTCTGGTCATTGACCCGGCGGTCCATATTCGGTTTGATTGACGGCCGAGCAATCGCGGTCCAATCCGATTGACGACCCCACGGTTCCGGTCCAATCGACTACCCAAGTCCTTGTCCGGTCGAGTCCACAACCCAGCAGTCCCTATTCGATTCGGTCCACAACCCGGTGGTCCCTGTCCGGCCCGTTCGATGACCGACGATCCTTGTCGGGTCCGATGCATGACCAAGTTGTGCTTATTCAATCCGATCAATGGGACCGTACTTTCGATCTTATGGTCGATCACGAAATCGAGTGAAAAAATTGTATGATCATGTTTTCAAATTTGAGAATGGAAAACTAAAAAATGAAATCAAAGAGTTGGAGATAGAAAAACTGGAAAATGAAAACACAAAACTGGAGAACGGAAAGCAGAAATAGAAAACTGGAAAATATCTATGTTCGTAAACAAGCCCTAATTGTCTCTACTATCTTTTCCCCCGGTCCTTGACATTTTCCTAGATTCAAACATATTGCATACCCATAACCTATAGGGAAAACAAGAGTAGAAATGTGTACTCACAGATATCTGCTTCTTTCCCCCAAAAAGAAGCTTCAATAGTGCTGTTAGGACAATAACTACAACAGAGAGGATAAGTCCAATTGTGAGGTTAGGTTGTTTCTCCGCCTTCTCAAGTAAATCCTGAGGGATGCATAGCAATAGTATTATTAGCAAATGACACATATGTGCTGAGAACATAGGACTGAATACAAACCAGTAGAGTCTACTTGTTTACCAATACTTTACTCTTATGATCACCCAAGAAGGAGAGGTCAGCAAACTTATAAAGCTGGTCGAATACCACTTTCTGCAAGTATATAAACCAACGGTGATATAAATAAGCGAATGAACACATAAATGATTGAATACTTAAAGTCAATGGTTATCTAAGTCAATGGATATATTACAAAACGAAAGGAAAATACACATGATTAATTTTTACAGTGATATATATATATATATATATATATATATATATATATACATTTCTTAGTCTTCATTCAGAAATATACTCGCTCCTTATTTTAAAGTTCCTTACATTTTCTTTGGGCACACTATTTAAAATGAAATAGTAGGGGTAGAGTAAAGTTATAAAGAAAGAGAAAATAAAAGATAAAGTAGAATATAAAGGATAAAGTAGGTGAGAGAATCTAATTAAAAGAGTAGTGGGGTAGGATATAATTGAATAAGGGTAAAAAGATAAGGGTAATAATGTATTTTCATAGATAAAACTTTCCTTGGAAAGTATATGAAACTTTTGAATACAGCCCCAAAAAGAAAGTGTAGAAAACTTTTAAATACGGAGGGAGTATATACTTAGTATGAATTTGAACAACAACATCCAAGTCTTATTACCTGAAGATTTTGGGGTAGACTAACATTAATCAATCCATGATAAATAGTATGAATTTGAAAAAATGTCAAAAAATGAATGTGGCGTGTATATCTTTTACTATGTAGTATGTACAAACTTTCTTTCCTTCAAAAATTTTTCTTTTTTCTTCCTATGGAACAAATAAATGCATAAAGATAATGCTGGAAAAGAATATATTTACCTTGAAACCTTTGAGGCCATCAGAATCTGAATCTTCCTCAGCTTTTTGCTTCTCCTTCTCAGCATCAAACTTAGGCTTCCATGCATTCTTCCTATAATATTCTGCAGTTTTTTCATCACCAGCAATCAAGATGTTGTCAAACAAGATTCCATCTTGCATTGTCCATATCTCTATTCCGACTGCAGCAACAGGTTCAAAGTTGGGACTATCGAGTTCATAATGATTAGGGTTTGGGATATCTCTAGGCTTCCAGATTCCCTTATAATTGGGGTTGTCAATAAGGGGAGCATGCCATTTTCCCTTGTACGCTGGGTTCCGCTTTGTTGGTCTTCTCCAAACCCCACAACCAGGGCTCTCAAGACACTTAGGATTGTCAATTTTTGGTGCTTCCCACTCACCATCCTCTTCATCATCCCAATCTTCAGGTTTTGTGGCTTCAGGATCATCAATCTCCTCAGGTTCATCATCCAACCACCCTTCAGGCTTCTTAGCTTCCTCATCCGGTATCTCCATGGGTGCTTCCTCGTCCCAATCATCTGGTTTCTTTGCATCTGCATCTGGAATCTTTTCCCTCTCATCCCAATCCTCTGGCTTCTTATCATCTGGATCAGCAATGGTCTTTGAAGGAATAAGACATGGCTCAAAGTCTTCATCAGAGAGGAAGTTAGCTTTCTTTTTCTCTTCTCCATCAATCAAGATGCGCAATTCATTGTTGGGTTTTATTATGGCAGTGTAAACATGGGTTAGTTTGTCAGAAGGTACGGAAGGTGGGAACTTAAGATGGTGTTCAACATACTCCGCAGTCTTTGGGTTCTTGTGTTTCAGAATAAAATGAACTTTGTTAGTGCCTCCGCATTTATCTGGCCCAAACATGATAGAATAGGGAGACTCATTATCAAATTCCTTAGCAACCCACTCAGCATCTTGGGGGCGAAGATACTTAATGTAAGCGCCACCACATTCAAGCCCTTCCTGGAAGCGAACTTCATATTGGAGAACTGTTTCATCTTTGAGATTGACAGCCTCATCAAGTTCCTTGACAATAGCATATTTTCTAGCCTTTTCGCTCACAAGAAGCCCGAAATCCTCATGCCCCTCGCTCTTAGAATGTTTCCATATGCCTGACAATAGAGAAGTAAAAATGTAATTTCTGAAATTGTAAGGATATTCTCTTTGAAAATCCACAGGATGAAACATTTCCTAGACTAATCAAAAATAGGCACTACAGTTAAATGTTGAGTATATAAACAGCAAATCTTAATACGCACATATTTAGACAAGCACATATATTTAAACAAACTCATTTACATTTAACTCAAGTTTTTTAAACTTTGGAAACTTTGTGAATATGTTTAATATAATGCTCCGTACCTAATTTTGCATAATGTCAACATTGTAAGTATTTCATATTTGCAGTATGTGGCCAGCCAAACATAAGAGGGTTCTAAACTTTTTATGTTGGCTGGAAAATCTTGTAGAAGTTCAACAGCAATTGTTTAAGGGTGAATTTTCATGTAAATTATCCAGTGTAATTTTAGGCATCTTCGATGGAACTAAATAAACAACATATTAGCCGAGTTGATAAAGTAATACAGAGTACACAATTATGTAATGCACTCCCCTGATATCAAATATTCAAAACAAATCCCCAGATATCACGTCCAATCATATTAGTCATGAGCTACGTGACCTAGGTCAGCTAAAATAAACTACGCAGTATTAAACTCCACCATGGAAATAGGTGAATACTATCCACTAGGAACCATTAAGATCAAAATACCGTGCATACACAGATTAATCAGTCCCATAGAGAAAAAATGCATGCTCATCCATTAACATATACCAATGATCGCGAAAAAAACTACCTTTATAATCCTCTTTGTCAGATACTATCCATCTCCCCTCGAATGAACCATCGAATGACTCGTAAAATTTCTATAGTCAGCAGAGTAACCATATCAACATTTGAAATTATCTAGATCTAAAAGATATATGTGATGTCTACGAAATGCAACTACAAGTAATGAAAGAATGGCTTACGACATCAGAGGAAGCGCAGAGCTTAGAGAACAAACAGCAGATTACTAGTAGCAAGACGGTGTGCGGCCAGATCTTCCGCTTAATCTCTTCCATAACTATTACCAGATCTCAAATGATGGGATCTTCAAGAAAAACTGGAATATCTGAGAGACGAGCTTCAAAGATCTCTGTTGAAGATGAACCCAGAGAGATTATAAAGAAGATCTCGAGAGAATAGTGTGGAGTAGTCTCGGCCAATGGTGTATCTTGCCACGTGAAGCGGGCCAATAAGATAATGCCACATATAAGTAGCGACGCTAGAAAAATGTTGAGTGAAATGCACCAATAAAAATAAAAGGGAAAAAAGTTAAACACACTTTACAAGCTATGTTTGGCATTGTGTAGCATAAGCTTGTATTAATGTCTAAATTATGAGTTATTGTTTGAAGTCGACAATATTATCTAGAGCTGAACTTTGAAATTTGAATTTGAACTGCTAGTTGACTACATAGGCCCGTTTGGTAAATAAAGCTGAAAATTTTTCGGATAATATGAAATTTGGGCATCTAATTATTAATGCAAAAAAATAATTAACGTAATGATATATTTTAATAAATATTAATATTTGAGTGTGTGTGTGTGTATATATGTAAATATATAATAATGTTTATATTTTTTCAACTGATGGAGTATATGGCCCAGGAACCCCCGGTTCATAGACTCCCACTATTCTAATACAGGCCCAACAGGCCCAGGAAGCACAGCAAGCCCAAATCACAGCGCCCCAAGTGATAGGAGGCCCACGCTGCTCATGCAGCTGCCTTCGGTCCCCTGGTCGAAGGCCCCAAATTCTCACAGAACAACTGTTTTAGGCTTACGAAGGTGCTGGGAGAAAAAGGCGATATCAGTAGCCTTCGGCACCTAGAGCCCTCGGCACTGAGAGGCCCCCGACATGAAGAGCCGTCGGCTAGTCATTTGCAAACGAGGGCACCTTCCTCGACAGAATCTCCTCTCCACATGCGCCCGGATCGTCGTACCAAGTACAACGTCACATCCAACCGCGGCATTTAATGCGGCCACATGCAATTGTTAGTGCCACCCCGATTGACGTGACCCTCAGCCGTCGGATGCTTAATACGTGTCCTCGTCTCGCATTTATTGCTGCTATAAATAGCCCCCCTTTTCCCCATTGTAAACCACGCTCAATACGCTTTAAGCAATACATCAATATACACTCTCTCTCTCTACTTTTGCTCTAACTTCTCTCTAAGTTACTCCCGCAGTAACCCCTCGGATAGATACCCCTGAGTACTACTATCCATCATTTGGTGCTCTCGTTGAGAGACTCGAACAATCAAGTAAGAAACCCTCCCCTTCGCCAAACACAAAAGCACCTACCAAAATGGTGAGAGCAACTCGTGCCCACTCCAAGACTCTTGAGGACAGGAACCTGGCCCTCGGCGAAGTCGACGTCCCCGAAGCCTCTAATAGGGCTCCCGAGCGCGGCGTCATCGCCGGGTTGGACCAGACGGCTGTCGACCTACGCCTTCAGCTCCAACAAAATGCCCCCGATGCCCGCCTTGGCATCGAGGCCAGGAAAAAGGACCGGAGCGAAAACAAAGTGAGCCCTCCGGTCCTTACTATTGACGTGCAATCAGCGTTCTCCGCCTTCATCCAGACACTCACTCAGAACCCGGGTGCCTTCGGCACTCTGGTGCCTCTTCAACCACAGGTCGGGGAGAACGCCATACCGCTCCCACCACCACTCCCCTTCGTGAAACCTATCCTTCGGATTGGGAACGACGAGTGGGTCATGGCCCAGGACACCGCCTCTCAGGAGGTCCAATCCCGGGACCGCCATGGCGCAAACAAAGAAAGGCCCCAGATCTCCGCCCTCGAGAGGCTCGGAGGGGCGCAAGACCGCCGAGGGGTCCAAGACCGTCTCGGGGGGGAAGGCGTTCCAAAGACCTCAGGAAAGTGGTGGATCCGTCTCCAGGGCAGACGAAAGACGTCCTCTTCAGGACAAAGGCAAGGCCCCACTCCATGCAGACGACGCCCGACACCAGATCAATCAGGCCCACTCGGCCCGTGTTCGTTCGTAGGGGGTGGAGGCCCTCCCAAAGGATCCTAGGGACGAGATCATTGCGGTCCTCCAGCACCGGCTTGACGAGATGGAGGCCCATCGAGCGCATACCGCCGTCGCCATCCCTCATGCAGATCCCAAATATGAGGCCATGATGGCCAAAATGGAGGAGATGCAAAAGAAAATAGCTTAGGGCTCCGGGGAACCCGTCATCCAGCTCCGGATTAGGACGCCAAATACCCCAAGGGTATTGGCGGCCCGCATTCCGGAAAAATATCGGGGGCAACCCATCAGGCCCTATGATGGAAGGACAGACCCCAGGAGCATTACAGCCGATATCAAAACAGTATGATGATGGTGGGGGCATCGGACGAATATTTGTGTTGTTGGTTCTCCTCCACCTTAGAGGGACCAGCGTACGAATGGTTCAACCGATTGCCCGAAGGCTGCATCGATTCATGGCAAGAACTCGCCCAACGCTTCTTGACGCAGTTTGCAGGAAGGCGCCGATCAAGAAAACATTTCTCCCACTTGCTGACGGTGAGACAAAGGAAGGAGGAGACCCTTCGGGACTTCTTGGAACGCTGGAGGACGGAGGCGGATAAAGTTGATGGCGCTGACGATGGGACCCTCCTGACCCTCCTTCAAACAGTCCTTCACCCCGGGAACTTTTCAAGGAGCCTTATCATCGAACCTCCCCGTGATTACATAAGGGCCCTACAGCGGGGGGATCAGTACGCCGAGGCCGAGGAGGTGGAAAAATGCCATCACAACCCTTATCAGCAACGCCCTCGGCCAGATGACAAAGGCAACCGGGGGACGGGGGCTCCCCCAAATCAATCCAAAGGTTCGGCACCCCCCAGTGATCGCCCCGGCATGGCCAAGCCAAACCCGGGGGAGGTTACAAGGGAAACCTGTAAGGAATATTTGTAATTAGATTTTGATGATGCTAGATTAATTAGGACTTTAGAGTACCCCTCTTTAGACTTAATGTATTAGAATTTTCCTTTGTAAAATTCTTTAGTATAATCGACTAAGCAGAAAGCCTCCAGAGCAGAAGACCTACAAAGCAGAAAGCATCCAGAGCAGAAGACCCTTTCTAAGGCTTTGGTTGAACAGAAGACCTTTGGTTCTCTGCTTTAGAACAGACGACCTCAGGGTCTCTGTTATCCTTTACTCTGACAAAAACCCTCCTGGTTCTCTGTTGGATATCTTCTCAACAGAAGTGCTCAAGACCTTCTCTGATCAACTCTCTGCTAAAGACACCAGAAGGCCTGACACTTAGGAGAATTTCACCAAGCCGGGAAACCAACTGAAAGATTCCTTCAACGGTTAGGAGTCTTGAACGGAAAAGCTACAGTACGTGCATTAAATGCACATTTAATGCCTCCCGTACTTTGTAGAGTAATTGCAGATGATTGGCCGCAATGTCAGGATTACCTTATCCCAAAATAGTAACCCGCCAACTTTACCGGGTCCTACTGGTCAAGTCAACTGCCCGCTCATTTAATGCAGTTGTCCTCCTTCTCCTCCAACGGGAAGACAACCTCAGTATAAAAGATACACTACGAAGAACAACCGGATAACTTTGCTATAACTTTTGCTACAACTCTGTATACAAGATATTAAAACGCTAAAAACGCAAAAAAACTCCTTGAGATTAAAACTTCATCATCTTCTACAAGAGAAGGCAGAAGTTGGAAAAATCCTTATTTCCAACTCAAGCAAAGTTCTAAGTGTTCTTCAACTCTTCAAGCTCATCACATACAAACTCTTTGTAACGAAGCAAGTTGGAGGACGTCCAAGTACCTGGAGCAGTGAAGTGGTGATACTTCTGGGAAAGCTCAGTGAAAGGACCAGTTTTAGGGAAGCCGGAAGTGCATCCAAGAAGACACCTACACTTGAAGAAGACGTGGAGAGCTTCTTAAGTGATAGGGCTAAGGCATTGTAAACGGACGTTTTTACAAGCTTAGTGGAACAGTGGACCAGAGGAACAAGTTGTTCCTTGAACCACTATAAAAAGCCCTAGTGTCATTTACTTACTGCATTACATTCATTGTTTTTATTTGAACTGTTTAACTCCAAAAACTTGGTATCTGTGTTCAGCAGAACTTGTCTTGTGAGTTAACAGAAGGCCTACTGCCTTTGCTTCTCTGAGGCTACTAACAGAACTCCCTACCAGAACCCCATCCGCTGCCAGTCTGTTCTGCCAACAGAACAGGCTATTCTGTTAAATCTGGTATTTAGCTTGAAAAGGTTAAAAACCAATACAGTCTATTCACCCCCCCCTCTAGACTGTATCCAGTACAACCGGGACAAACAAGTGGTATCAGAGCCTCCTTATTCTAATAATCTCTTAGTTATTTGCTGAACAAAGATCCACTTGTTTTTCTGTTTTATCTCTTTTTTAATCAGATATAATGGATCACTCCCTTTCCAAGAATCTTATGTTATCAGATCTCAAGTTTGATGACTGGAGGATCCGGATGAAGGCACATCTCTATGCTTTGCATGATGAGATGTGGGAAGTACTTGACATTGGGCCCTTCACAAGCTTCCAGAAGGTCAACCCTGAACATGCTATTGACAACACTAGACCTCAGATGATCAATAAGGCCAAATCTGAGTGGAGTACTGAAGAAAGAAGGAAGTACAATCTGGACAACATTGCTAAGGACATTCTTTACAAGTCCATCGATGATAGGTACTTCAACAGAATAAAGAAGTGCAAAACTGCAAAGGAAATCTGGGATACTCTTGAGCTCATTGGAGCTGGTGATGAGCAAGAGAAGGACAACAAGCTGAAAATAGCCAACAAGAAGTTTGATGACTTCAAGCTTCTTCCTGGTGAAAGCATCTCCAAGATGTATGACAGGCTCCTCACTCTCATCGGAGAGATCTCTGAGCTTGGCAAGGAACTCACCACCAAGGAGATCAACCTTAAGGTGTTGAGGGGACTGCCCTCAGCATGGAAAATGAAGGTGGTTGCTGTCCAAGCCAGCAAGGATGTGAAGACTTATCCCACTGATAAGCTCATTTCAGATCTCAAAGCTCATGAGTTTGAAATGATTGAAGAAAAAGAAGATGTACCAGAAGAGAGGACCATTACAGCCCTCACTGCCAGCACATCAAAGGTAGATGATTTTGACCCTTCAGTACTTTTATCTGACGAATATATGGCTGCTTTGGCTAGGAGA